ATCCATCCATCCATCCATCTGTCCATCCATTTATCCATTTGTCCATCTATCCATCCATTCATCCATCCATCCTTTCATCCATCCATCTGTCTTTCCATCCATTCATCTTTCCATCCATTTATCCATCTGTCCATCCATCCATCCATCCATCCATCCATCCATCCATCCATCCATCCATCCTTCATCCATCCATCTATCCCTTCATCCATCCATCCATCAATTCATTCATCCTTTCATCCATCCATCCATTCATCCATCCATTATCTTCCACTTGTCAGGTCACAGGGCAGCAGCTTGAGCAGGGAGGCCCAGACATCTCTTTCCACAGCCACCTCTTCCAGATCTTCTGGGAGGACCCCAAGGTGTTCCCAAGCCAGCTGAGAGACATAGTCTCTCCAGCATGTCCTGGGTCTTCCCCTGCATCTCCTCCCAGTTGGACATGCCTTTAAAACTTCCCTAGAGAGGCATCCAGGAGGCATCCTTACCAGACGCCTGAACCACCTCAAGTGGCTCCTCTAAATGTGGAGGAGCAGCAGCTCTACTCCAAGTCTCTCCTGGATAACTGAACTTCTCACCCTATGTCTAATGTTTGCAAAATATAACATTGAGGAAAATACGGCACTGTGCACATGCAAAACAATCTACAAGTATGATATGAAATCTCAAGCAGTAATCCAAAAATGTGATGCTAGAATCAATTTACTGTATGAGAAATAAGTAAAACTTGAGCAATTTTTATTTTTATTACTGATCTACCAGGAGGATCTGCCTGATGAAGCATCAGTTTGAAGGAAAATGAACTATTCCGCAGTTCATAGGAGTGAGGGAAACGTTTAATAGGGGTTGGTCACTTAAAATGTGTTGTACCGCATCAAAGTTTTAGAGAATTATCCCAAATTAAGTCAAATTTACAATAAAACTGTTGATATATACAATAAAAATTGTGATTGTTCAGGATGACAGTTGATTCATAGATGTAGTTAGTTCTCTGCAAGGTTTACCAGGTCTCAGATGTCCTACGGTGTCTGCCAGACTTCCTTTCTTCACTTTGGTGATAAATGCACATAAACGGCCTGACTCCGTCATCTTTCCCCCGACAACCTGGAAACACATCACCCATAAGCAAGGCACTCAACTTCACCCAAAGGAAAACATGATGCAGGGGCGAGGAGAACCAGGAGCACCACCTTCAGTCCCAGCAGGGCTCCTGTGTCTGCAGGAACCGTCCCGTCCTTCATCCTTTTGTTCAGCACGATCCGACCAATCAGACGCTCTCCATCTTTGGACGGTTGCCATGTGACCGGCTGCTGATGAGTCACAACAACAAATATGGTCAATTCAACCAATTTTTTCAACAGTAGGATAATTTTAAAGACAAAAGTGATCAAAACTTGATGATAATGTTGATGACTTTAGAGGAAAGTTATGATTTTAGTTACCATAGACATTGGTGCCGGCTCGCCATGCCAGCCATGATCCCACCACTGGCTCTCCATGTCTCCTACAAACAAAGAGAACAACATAAACTTTGATGTGAAAGCACCTCAAACAACCGAAGTGTGTAAATAATTGAACAGAAACAGCTCTTTCTGTTGGCTTCTGTTACGTTTTCCTTTTTGAAAAGTTGTACACATGATAGCAAAATATTGTGTTGTAGCTTGATGAACTTTTAACAGAACAAATAAAAAATAAAATACATATATTTCTATATTTTTTGTTTAAAAAACACATAGAGGTCAATTTATAATGAAGGTATTGGATCTCTGAGAAGTCAAGCTCACAAACAGCCTTCGGTGAACTTGTGTACAAGAAAACAAAAACTGAAAGTTGGATTTAGTAAATTAACTTTTAATTCACACATATTTAAAGCTCTTATTATGCTGCACATTTCTCAGGGATCTTACAAATTTGTGCATATTTCGGTACCCCTTTAAAATAAGGCTCCCCTTATAGATGGCTTATAGTTTACAGATATGTTCTTAATTCCTCTATAAACACTTTATAAATCATTAATAACTGCTTATTATGCATTAATTAAGGGTGACAGAGAGACAGAACTGACCAGTTTTTTTTGCCAAATATTGAGCCAAATCTGTTCACCTATATATTTCATCTAGAGTTGTTATTTTAAACATTTCAGACTAAGTTACTACCTTGTAAGAACAATAAGCATTTGTATGCTGGTGAAGATTCTCAGTCATCCAGGACATGATGAATTCAAAAAAACGTTCAATACAAAAACAGCTGGACTTTATTTGTAACAGAAGACGCATAATAAGCATTTGTAAAACTATTTCTTTAGCATATGATATTGTACTTTATCACTGCATTATAAGTATCTACAATTAATATTATATCCTAACAAGGTAGTAACTTAGTCTGAAATGTTTAATATAACAACTCTAGATGAAATATATAGGTGAACAGATTTGACACAATATTTGGCAAGAAACAGGTCAGTTTTGTCTCTGTCACCCTTAATTAATGCATAAGCAGTTATTAATGATTTATAAAGTGTTTATAGAGAATTAAGAACATATCTATAAACTGTTTGTTAATCTATAAGGGGAGCCTTATTGTAAAGTGGTATCATTATTTCAGCTGTAATTTGCTCCTTAAAGCACAGTACCTGTGTCAGTAAATCCGAGGACAGACGACATTAAAACATGAACCTGCCCCAGATCTGCAGCAATCGTGAAAGTAAATACGAATAGAATGCTATGATTTATAAATCTCACATATCAAACGTTGTACCATTTTAAACATTATGGTAGTTTCGACTTTAATGGCAGCAACACATCTTAAAAAAGTTGGAACAGGGGTAACCAAAAGATGCACATGTAAGTAAGTTTATTTGGCTGCTTCCTTCTTCAGGGGTCACCACAGTGAAACTCACACATGAAAGATTTGACCATTTGTGTTGCGCCAGATGCCTGTCCTGATGCAACCTGGGCTTGAACCTGCAGCCTCAGGATTAGAAGACTGCGGCACTGACCACTGAGCTACCGCAGCCATAAAGGATGTGCAAGTAAGTGATAAGAACAAGAAACATCTGGAGGAGCCATTTGCAATTAATGAAGTCAATAGTGAACAGGTCAGTAAGAGGAATGGGGATTAAAAAAAAAAAATATCTGAGAGAGGCTGAATCTGTCAGGAGTAAAGGTGGGCAGGGGTTTACCAGTCTGTACACAACTGCATCTGAAAAGTGTGGAATATGTTGCGAATTGTATTTCTCAGTGGAAAATTAGGAAGGCTTTATATATCATTCTCTTCTTCTGTCACCTTTTCCCTCTTCAGGTGTTGCCTCAACGAGTCATCCCACCTCCATGTCCTCTCTAACTTCATCCATAGATCTCCTCTCTGTCTTTTTCCTGGCAGCTGCATTTCTAACATCCTTCTACCAATATACCCACTGTCCCTCCTCATGTCCAAACCATCTCAGTGTGGCCTCTCTAAATCTCCCAGTTGTTCAACCTGTGCTGTACCTCTGATGATGTCATTCCTAATCTTATCCATACTTGTCACTCCTAAGGAAAACCTCAACATTTTCATAACTTCCAGTTCTGTCTCCTGTCTTTTTGTCAGTGCCACAGTCTCCAGACCATACAACATAGCTGGTCTCACCACTGTCTTGTAAACTTTTATCTACTGTTGCTAATATCGTCAAAAGGTTTCTAGAACCTATAGAAATATCTAAGCACAAAGGACAAGAGGTTAGAAGTTGTTGATGGATTCAGGTCTTCTGATGGCACAAAATTAAAAACAGGTCTGATTCTGTTCTAGACATCAGGACTAAAGAACATTTCCACAAATCATTTGTCTCGAAGCTACTAAACAGCTGTTAGTGACGATCTTTTTATCATTTAGAACTTAGAGACAAATAGTTGTCTGCACAGTTTGCCACACCATCTTCATATACTGGTTAAAGTTCTATGATGGAAAAAAGAAGCCATATACAAACACCACCATCTTCTCAGAGCCAGAGCTCATTGAAAATGGATTGAGGCTAAATGTAAAACTACTCTGTGGTTAGACGAACCAAAATACTTCTTGAAAATACTTTCCCCTCTCCTCTATACTAAAGAGGAGAGGGACCATCCAGCCTGTTATCAGCGCACAGGTCAAAAGCCTGCCTCTCTGATGGTATGGGGGTGTATTAGTGCCTCTAGCACGGGCAGCTTGCACATCTGGAAAAGCACCATCAATGCAGTACAGTATGTATAGGTTTTAACACAACATATGCTCTCATCCACCAGAAAATCCAGCAAAGACAATCCAGGACTGTTGAAAACCAGTAACCCTACACCAGACAAGAAATGGACAACAACTTCCCCCCAAAATGTAAAACTGGACTGAAAATAAGATGGTAATGGTTGTACAATAATAAAAATGGATAAACATGATAAACAACCTCCCAACTGTTTCAGAATTAGGGTTGTAGAACTGGAGGAGGTCTCTCAGACCCATCTCCACTGCTGCCAGCAAACTGCTTCAGTCTTTCTACTCACAGGTCTGTGCAGACGCCATGAAAAAAGTTCACACTTCAGAGGTAAAGAAAGAGGTGAAGAGGAGGAAGACGACCTGCAGCTCCTCAGTCCTCTTCCTCACTGGGTCTGGGATTGCAATTTGCCCCGAGTACGACCTGCAGGTTTGCAGAGCAGTTCATGCCTGTCCGTAACAAGATTAGCTCAGGCCCAACACAGAGTCCATCTTTCAGCCAGTGGCTCCACTGTTAGCATCGCGGCACAGAGCTGGTCAGAGTTAACTTGTCGTCCTGTCAGAGAGTTGCCAGGTCAGACCGTAATGGTGGATGCTGCTGAGCTGAGGGCAACATCTCAGCATCAACACTGCCACACTTTTGTTCCACCAGATCAGAGCCAAAAAATATCAAACAGATCAGGATGACGTCCAGGTGTTTCCCAATAAATCACCAAAACTCCAAATTAACAGTTTATCCTGCTCCCCTGTTGACCTGTGTGAGTGAACATGCACACTGTTGGCTGCCGGGCCTCCTGCTCTGTGAGTTTCTGTTCTTGTTTCTTTGCGGTGACTCCTGATAATCCACACTCTTCCCTTTTAATCCAATTGAACAAGAGCTGACACGGTGATTTGCAGCCCAACAACACTAGAACGCCAGGCCAAGGTGTTCTGCCTTAAACAGGAAAAGATTATCAGGCAGGTCCTCCAGGATCTTCCAGGGTGCTCAGGGTGGTCAAGCGGTCAAGTTTCTCAGAGGTTTTTGGTGGTTTGTCTTTTGGTTCAGGTGTATTCAGTACCACTCTGAGCTGCTCTATCACCTCTGAACCTGATGGGAGGAGCTAAGGGCCCTCGGAGCCAATCAGAGCTCGTCATCGCTGATGACTCTGGCGCTAAGACGCAGCAGATTACCTCGTCAGCATGATGCCTGTGAGAAAACCTGCAGCAAGTGAAACGCCTCTGACCGTTATAGCAGTGTAACAAGCACAGAAGCCAAGACGCTCGTGACAAAACCTTCAGGAGCAGAACATCGGAGCAGATCCGTCTGCACAGCCTCAAAAAACTGAACCCTGAGCAACATTTAAGGAAACATAAAGCATCAACAATTTCCTGCGGGATCAATAAAGTTCTATCTTATCTAATCTAAATTATTCTGTAAAAAGTAGTTGTGCATAATAGATTAGCAGCTGCAGAACGAGCTGAGCTCAATGGAACTTCAAGAACCTTTGGAGTCCAGTTTGGCCTTCCAAGGAAGTGCTTTATTTTCTAATGTGGCTGCAACTCTGCTAGATCAGTTTACAACTTTATCAGATAATTCTGGAGCTCACTCATTACTCATGACTACACCCCAGCTGATAAGGAACTAACTACTGATAACGGTTTGACAGAACATCACATCCATTATTCATTCAACCTTTATTTATACAGGTTAATACCATTGAGCCCCGGGGACTCATTTACAAGAGAGACCTGATTTTAACAAAAAATGATGACAACAGTGGACAACGACGACAACAATAGACAATCATGGAGGATGCGTACAAATTGATTTTTTAACAAGTGAAAATAAAATGGTATTTAAAAGAAAATGTAACAACAACAAAAAACCCAGCTAGGTTGTAATGCGGTGTAGAAAACTAAAAACAGGAACATGTCTGCATTGGTTTTTGCCATGATGAACTTAGCTGATGTTTGAAGCAACTTAGACAGGTCAAGGTCGAGAACTTCAGATCTTTTTGTAAGATATTCCAGGAAACAGGAGCGGAGTAGGAGAAGGCCCTTTTGCCTAATTCAGTCCGCACTGAGGGGACACTGCAGGTAATAATGTCCTGAGTGTGCACGCGGTAGCTGCACTCATGCAGAGACATGTAGGAGGAGATGTATGAAGGCAGCAGACCAAGAAGTGATTTAAAGATTAAAATGTACCAGTGAGAGAGTCTGCGTGAAGTTAATGATGACCAGTTAACCAGTGAATACAGGGTGCAGTGGTGGGTACAGTAGTTACAGCCAGTTATGAATCTTAGTGCACCATGATAGACAGCATCCAACATCTGCAGGGTGCTTGTAGGAGCGTTCATGTAAATAACGTCACCATATGGAGGGGAGGAAAGTCACAGCTACAAGGTGTTTCCTAGCATTCAGAGTTGAACAGGATCTGTTTCTGAAAAATAATCCCAGTTTAACTTTCAGTTTCTTTACTAGGTTTTCTGTGTGAAGCTTAAAAGAGAGATGCGAATCGACCAAGATACCCAAATATTTGTAGGAATCGACAAACTCAACAGGGACACCATTTGAGGATAAAATCAGAGGAAAACTTCCTGTTTTAAAAAAAGCATCCCTTTGGTTTTGTCGGCGTTTAGGACAAGTATGAGATGGAACAAATCTGACTGGATGATGTTGAAAGTGGATTGTAAAAGCTGGAAAACCTTAGCAACTGTTTTAGCTCGACAGTAAACAACTGTGTCATCAGCATAGAAATGTGAGGATGCATCAGGGATAATCTGACCTACATTATCTATGTAGATTGTGAAGAGGGTGGGTCTGAAGACAGAGCCATGTGGTACACCATACACCAAGATGACCAGACTGTTCCTTTAAGGGCAAACATTCTATATAGCAAAGGTGAGCTGTGCCCACTCTTGCATCCCTAGGTGCATTACTCTTGTTAAAAATGAGAGCATGTCCCTGGACGTCGTGTTTCCATTATAATAACATACAGGGCTAAAGCAGAACCTCAAAGAACAGAGACAGAACCCGAAGACGAATGACAGCGAGAATCTGTAGGACGACAACGTGAATGTTTTAATGCAGAGTGAACGATTATCTTATTATCGACCTTTATGACCTAAAGAGGAATGGGCAGTTCGATTCAACGCACCTGAGCAGAACTTTTGGGTAAAGACCAAACCGCCACAATCGAAGTTATAAAGAAGAACGTACTAGAACGTCAATAACAGCCCAACGACTAAGAGAAGATATGGTCCTTACATGAATACCATTTGGTGCCAAAATGAAATTTGATGTAATGCTATAAGAAATAAAACAAAGTGATGCATAAGTTCTGATTACAGAACTTTACTAAGACCCATACAGCTGTAAAATAAAAACCTTACTGGACCATGACGTACTACTGTATACAAAAGAGTTAAAGAATCAGAATGAGTATGATCATGGGTCACGCTGGGTGCTGATGTCAGAGTTCTCACCAGAACCCTCTGGTGTGAAACTGAGGGAGCACAGGTGAAGTTGGCTGGAGGTGAAGCCAGATTCAGCTGTAAGAAGATTATCACACTGAGCTCATTTAAGTCAGAGACAGAGAGAACACATACTCACTGTCTCTAGCTCAACTCTCTCCTTCTTGTTTCTTCTCTCAATTTAAAGTTTAAAAAAAAACCCTCATGATATCAGATTGAAGGTCACAAGATCCAGGACTGAGGCTCCATGAAGGAAAACCACTTAGAATAACCACTAGAGGGGAGCAGAACATTGGTAGATACCTCACCAGTCTTTATTAGATTTGTAGGTGTTAGAATAATTAGGACCTAAAGTTGTTTCGCAGTCTTCTTAATTATTTAAGTTATTTACTTTTAGTTTTGGTTAACAGTTAAAATGTTCTAAATGAGAAAAATCCTAATTACATTCAAATAAGGTAATTGTCTGAAGCCAATACTTAATTAAAGGCCTAGTATTCCTTTAAGAAATGCACATCGCCTGCCATCTTTCATATTGAAATTTTCAAGAAAAAGTTTGTACAATCTGTTAGTGCTCAAGTTATGCCATGAAGCTGACTCTCAGCTACTACCACATAAAATGTGAGCTCAAAATCTGTAAAACTGACTGACTTAGAGCTCTTTTGTTTTTGTTAAAGTCTATTATTAGTTTCTTTCAACCCTTTAATTTGACTTGCAGGTAAAATATGTTTAACCCCTTGTTTTGTCTCTAAGGTTGCTCTGACAGATTGTCTCCAACAGCTGTTTGTTGGTTTACATGAAACAATGAAGTAGCCACTCACGGTCGGGCTCATCGCAGCTGGTGTACTCGGGCGTGGTCAAAAGCTCCTCCTCGGAGCTGCTGAAGCTACCGATCACGTGCATTTTCCCTATCATCCTCCCCCTCGGTGCCATGCTGTCATTGGCAGGCTTCCTCTTGAGGGCGGAGCTTGGGTCCAGGTGTTGATGTGGCAATGGGCTGCGGCGTGGAGACGTGGGGCTGATGTGATTGGCTGCTCTGTCGACAGAGAACGACCTCTGACCTCCAGATCCGAGCAGTCCCTGAGGTCGATTCTGACGGACAGCTGACAGGGAACCAACAAGCAACGTTAAGTGATTTAACCTCATAAAGCAAGGCACCAACAGGTCATCGGATTCTTTCTTACCTGGGTGTCGCATGTTAAGGTGTTCAGGTTCGGCAATTGCCAGGGAGACGTCACTATGGCGACGCTGGTGACGGACTCTGCCGACTTGAGCCAACATCCTCATGGTCTCTTCACTTGGCTGCGGCTTCACTGGGTAACGGGCCAGATTTGGGTCGCTACGGTAACGAGCCTGAAACTCCTCTTCCTGTCTCCGTCTCTGCTCCCTATCGACCAGAACCGGATCAAAGGGGTGGTCCTGATGCAGGAAGAGAGGGATGGTCAGTATCTTTATCATTACCAAAATAAACTGCAGGTATTTAAGCAGACCTGCCAAAATGTTTTCGCTTCAGGGGCAGATGGCGTCTAAAACAATGACACTTTGTTAAAGAAGCGGATGAAATGATGTCATAGCAGTGCATCCTGCTAGTTCTGCTCTTTACCTCTTGATCTCTGTATCGCTCCTGATGCGCCTCCAATGCATTTAAAGTGTGTGAAAATACATAAGTAGATACCAGTGGTGTAGTCTACATTTTTGTAGTGGGTATACTGTGCTTAGAACCAAAGTACACTGGTTAGTACAATGTAATTGTCAATTTATTTTGATTTTTTAAGCATATTGAACATGTCCGAATTTCTCTGATGCTTATATTTGAATAAATGAACCACAAACTTTGTACACCAGTTGACTTTATATTAAAATATGTTATAGAATTTATAACACAGTATCAAAGCAAAACATGTTCAAGTATTAAGTAGTAAGTACAGAATTATACAATAATTCGCTGGATAAGCGAATGTAATAAACAAGCGCTGCATACAGATAAGATTGTTACGGAAGCGTTTAACTGTCGTTTAACGTATCAATGACACGTGCCTAACCATTGGGCACTTTTAAGTGGGTATACTGAAATTCTTACGCTTTTCTAGTGGTTATACTCCGTATACCCGAGTATCACGTAGACTACACCACTGGTAGATACAAGTTCGCTGTTGAAACACCCCTGAGACAAACGCTGAGGTAGTCACAGAGCTGAAATGGAGTGAGTGTGTGTGAAATGGACATACTGAGTCATTTATGTTTGTTCTGTGTAAATTACCACAGATGAGTCTTTACAGGGTGGATCTCGAGGTGGGGCCAGAAAAGTGTACTGGTGGCTGTGTAGAAGTTAGACTCTTAATGAGCTTGTATGCATTTCTTACAAACATAGTGATTGTGCTATTATGGAAAATAAGGAAATTGTGAAAATATCCAAATTAAGATGGTAAAAAAGATTTTCGTCAAATCAGAAACTATTTCCAGTGAGTCGAAAAAGCAGATTTGTTCCAAAAAAGACTGGAAAAACATTAACTGTTTTGCAGCGCCATGATGCTTCATTGCGAGTTCTGAACATTTAATTTAATATTATCTAATAAATAAATAACTATAATAATTTGTCGCTGAATAAGTTTAGCCCACCTGCGAGTGCCAGCGGCCTCGACCGTCTTTGATTGGCCGTCTTTGGACTCGTGGCTCTGCCTCCCCGTTACCATGGTGACTGTGCAGCGATCGATTTCGGCGATCCAGACCGTGATCAGAAGGCGAGCGAGGCATCCTGCCACCGCCACCATCGTAGTACGAACCCAAGGGGCTCCGCCTCCTGCCACACAAACAATCATGCAAATATTTCCTACAGAACTTGTTACAATTAACAATATTATCAAAATTATTTGCTGTTAATATTATTTGAAATGAGGCAGCACGGTGGCGCAACTGGTAGAGCTGCTGCCTCTCAGCGAGCAGGTCCCTGGTTCAAACCCCGGTCCAGGGGCCTTTCTGGGTGGAGTTTGCATGTTCTCTCCGTGCATGCGTGGGTTTTCTCCGGGTACTCCGGTTTCCTCCCACAGTCCAAAAACATGCATGTTAGGCTGATTGGTAACTCTAAATTGTCCCTAGGTGTGAGTGAGAGAGTGAATGGTTGTTTGTCTCGTTTGTCTCTATGTGGCCCTGTGATGGACTTGCGACCCGTCCAGGGTGTACCCCGCCCCTCGCACAGTGATTGCTGGACATGGGCACCAGCGACCCCCGTGACCAAAAATGGAATAAACGGGTAAAGATAATGGATGGATGGATGGATTATTTGAAATGCTTTTTAAGAAAATAAAAATTAAAGGTTTTCTGTTGTCTCTTCCATCTCGTGTCTTTTTTATAAAGATGGTTTTTGGGAAGGGGGTTTAAACTTGTAGCCTAGAGTGCACTATCTGGAGAATTTTTTTACTTTCATATGTTTTAAAAACATTTTAAGTCGTTTGTTTCCAAATCTCAAGTTTTATCCTTTACCTCTGTGGACTGAGATTTTGCAGATATTTGATATATAGAGCCCCAGGTTCGATCCCCAGTCACTGCACATCACGTGGCGTCTCTGGGCAGCACGTCTAATCCCCAAAATGTCCCCCGGGCGCTTTCAATAGCTGTCCACTGCACCACCTGGTGGTGGATGGGTTAAATGCTGAGACTAATTTCGCCATTGTATGGAAACATACAGTGCTGACATTGTGATGACATTATTATTATTATTATTATTATATGGTCATTAAAGTGTTTGTATGAATATTTGGCAGTAGGTCCTCCTGAAGTGTTGGTGCACTAAAAATATTTTTTTCATATATTGCTTAAATTATCCGAATACTTCTTCACCACTGACAGTTTTATGTTTTAGCAGGTAATTTACAGCCAGACTGTAACGAACCCCGTATAATGGACCAAAATCACCACCACAAAAATC